TCCCTGGAGAGGCAAAGCTTCTGAAGTTCAAGGGTAGGAAGTGAGGAGACTTCCTATGCATTCTTACTTGAAGCCTCTTTAGAAGGCTGGGCTTCCTCCCCCAGAAAGTCATTTTACTTTCAATGTTTTGTTTGCGGTCAAAACTATTTTCAGGGAGGGGTGTGGGCTCTAGTGAAAAGGTCTTGTTTCCCTCTTACTCATTTTCAGGGATCTTGTCTGTGCACTAACAACAATCCACTTGCAAGATTTCCTCTCATTTACCTAAGGTAGCTGATGGATATCCATTTCCAATATCTTTATGAAGTGTGTATTCTGAAATAAAGCATTTTGAATCACCAGCGAAGCTAGCAACCCCCCCCCAACACCGTGGGGTTGCTGTAGAGTACTGCTTCACAAGGCTGCTTTGTTTGGTCAGGGGGCCATGGTCTAAAGCTGTGAGGGGGAACTTTATTGGATGCTAATCTAGTATCTAAGATATTGTTCATCTGCTTTTTCTTCTTGCCATTTATGGTGAAAAAAATCTGCTGCCGGAGTACCATAAACATTTGTTTCTTGTTTCTAATCCTTTCCTAATTTGATTTTTATGTAATGGGAGTAAAGGTGAGAAGATAATCATCAGTTTTCTTCTAGTTTTAATACCCCTGCTTTCTTTACAAAAATCTATGTCTGAACATTACTGCTGTGAAAAATTCCAATACTTAATTTTTAATGTAGTTTTAGACTTTCCCAAACTCCATGTGTTTGGGGAGTATTCCTAATGGTTTGTCTTACAAGGCAAAAACTCAAACCAAACCAAACCAACCAAACAAACAAACAAAACAGGAGACTTTGAGAAAAAAAATCATAATCTCAAAAACTAGGTTCCTGTTGTTAAGAGCAGGAGGGCAGAGAGATCAGTGATTTAGAAACATCAACATCTGACATCAGAGGCATGTCTTGAGGGCTTGTGGCTGTAGGGGAAATGGAGCCACAGCAGTCACAGAGAGCTTTGTTAATCTTCTGTAGTATTTAATTTGGTTGATTTGAAATTAGATTTCATTGCAATGGCTGCATGCACTTCTCCAGCACCAGGGAGGGAGATCAGCCAACAATAACTTTTATTATCTCCTCTGGTGAGAGCCACATTTGGTGACAGGCAAGTCTCTTATTCCCTTACTCTTGCTCTCCTGGTTTAGTCCCAGGCAAAGTGACACATTAAAGGAACTTATTGTTCATTCTGTGCCTGGGCTCTCTTGTTCCCTTACCCTGTTCCCCTTGCTCGAGACTTGCCAGCAACTGGACCAGGGGCAACTGGACTGAAGTTGGCATCTGTTAAGTGATGCTCATACCCCATAGTTAGTCACTTTCAGACATTACTGCTCCTTGGATTATTCCAGGGAAACTCCATGTCTAACGTGACACCTCACTCACAGGAACCCATCTGTATAGAGCAAGAACTGATGTGGGGTAGAAATGTCTTTCGAGAGTCACCCAGGGTTTACCTATTTCACCTCCAAACAAGGCTAGTCAAAGATAACATCCTTTGGAGTTCAATGAACATTTTTTGGTGACATCTAATAAAGATGTAATTTTCCATAAAAGTGTAACTTCAAGAATTTCTTTCATTGAATTGCCAAAACTTTATTTCAAGCTCTATGGACCAGGTATGAGCTTTCTCAAGATGCTGACTATGTTTTGATAACATTTAACTCTAGGAACTATCTGTTCTGCAATCTGATTCCCAAGTCTTTTCTTTTTCCCTTAGAAGAGTCTTCATGAGGTGAGTATAATCTTTCAGGACCAGAAGTGTACATTTTAAAACCCAGTCTCTGTTCCTAGAATGTTTTGAGTAGAAACCTCACCACAGAAGGAGTGTATCCTTTTGTTTCCTCTGGATCTTCTTCCCCAGAATACCCTTCTTCTCTAAGAAATGCTTACCAGTCCTCTGAGTATTCTCTTCAGGCCCTTCTCTTCTAGGAAACTGTGCCTAGTATCTTCCTCCAGAAAAGTCAAAGCTGTTTCTACAATAAGCTTTTTGACACGTCAATAGTGATTTTACGATGCACATAATACCCAATTCATTTATTCAGCTTTGCTAATTTTGATGCATGGCTGACATCTCTACCTCCATAATGGGTATGGGAAATATTAACTCTATATTATACAATGGCTTTGATTCAGGCAAATGTTTTCTATCACCTGTGCCAATCTGCTTTCTGTGGGGGAAATTTGGTTGACCTTCAAAGATGAAGACTGACTTTCTTCAAAAGCTAGTGAAGTGATCACGGTCAAATTTTCTAACGTAAAAGTAGATGATGATACAGCACAGTAGTTGTAGGACAGATTTCATTGTTACACATCACTTTATAAAATAAGTACAGTTTCCATTCCTTCAGATGATATGTTTTGGAGCATTTTAGTACAGAATAATGACTCCTTGACAACTCAGGCAGGAAGTATTTAGACAAACTCGATCTAAGAGTATGGTGAAAATTAAACATTCTCAGATGGAATGAATGCTCACCAGATGAAACAGCACACTTTCAAAATAAGGTACGTGATCGTCTATGTATCATCAGATTAACGAATGGCTAATGTGCTAACCACTGACCATTTTGTCCTTTGGAAAGTATGCATATTGTTTAGCTAGCACCAGGAGCTAATGTGGATGAGCATCTTTCAGCACTGTGGCTTCCTGAGTCTCATACAGCTGCACAAGCCCCAGGGCTAATCTTCAGGTGGCTTACCATGTGATGTGACATTTAGACCTGAGAGGTCTCTTATTTTTCTGGATCTGGCCTGGGAGTGTAGGTGGGGACACAGGACTGTGCCCTATATATACTTTACTAGCTTAAGGAGAAAAAAAAGTCAATTATTCATAAACAGGGGGACTAATCCTAAAACTAAGACTCTTATCTGGGACTAGGTTGCCAGTATAATTCCCAAAAGAGGAACTCACTACAGAAAAGCCTGCATGTTGACCTGCTCTATGGTTTATGTACCTTAGAGCAAAATGACCCAGGTCTCCCAGGCTCCAAGGATTAGACTCATCACCTATTGCATACTTTCTTTTCTAAAATACTTTTTAAATTAATTCATGGGCTCTTAGATTTCCTCCATTCCATGACTTGAAGTGTTTAAAGTGACCTGCACAAAAAAGTAGTATCTTGCAGTCATGTACAAAAGGATGAAATTGTATCCTAGAGACCTGGGTTTTCTTTGCTTTCCAACCAATTGCCTTGTATGTGCCCACTGACAGTGATGCTGGCTCATTGGAAACTAATGATTTTGTATTTCTGAAGAGCTAAGCACCCTGATACTTTGATCTTCTTTTTAAGCAGATAATTTTAGGCTAGAATAATATAGTCTGTTCTTTGCTAGGTCTTATTGTCCACAAAAAGTTTACCCACAAAAATCTTGTCTACTTTAACAGAAAGGGCCCCTACTTATGCAGACGGCATGGCATCTTTTTTGGTTGTTGGGTCATAGGTAGATTGGCATTCTTTCTTTGTTTGCAAATTGAGTGTATTTGGGTTTCTTTGCCTCTAAAGAGTGAAGATAAATTAGGTTGTGAGTGGGAGATGCAGCTTGAGAATATCAAATCAGTTCTCAGCAGGTGTGAGTCTAAAGTGCCTCTTTGCAGGACAGAAAGTTACCACCACCTGTGCACCTGCTCCCTGGAAAATGGAGTAGGCATCAAAAAGCTGCTCGACAGGGGACTCAATCAAATCATTTGTGGCCAGAAGTGGCTTTGTATCCTTTGTAACAGGGAAATATTTGTTGTTTTGTCAATTACATTTATAAGAGTTTGTATTTTGATTTGGAGAAAATGTGTTCTTTGGAGATGTATTTCAGTTTGGAGAAAATGGGTAAATACATGCATGATGCATGATCACTTAAGTCAAAACCTGGCAAAGCTGTTCTCCACAATTGCCAGAGAGGCAGCGAAGAAGATGCGAAAACACATCCCTTCTTTCCTTGAGATCATGCAACAGACCAGAGGATAATGAGGCTGGCTATGATCAATAATTAAGATGAGGAAGGTGTTGAAAGAGTTTGGTTAACACTGGCTATAAAAGGAGCTCATGGGATCTGGCCTCAGTGGCAAGGTTTAGAAGCAGCTGAGAAGGCTCTGAACTGTGAACAGGTGAGATTCAACAGAAAAGGAACATGGGGAGAAGTGGATAATTGGGAACTGACTCCAAACTTTAGGAGAGAAAGAGCTAGCAGTATTGTTTGCAACTGTTTCTTTGAGAGGGAGGGAGTGCTTGGAACAAAAAAAAGAAAGATAGGAATCTGTGTGTGTACATTTCCTGCTTCTGTTCTCTTATCCAGTACCCTCAGGGCATCGGGAGCTCCTCCTGTAAGGGAAGGGCCCTCTACTGCCCCTCTGTAGTCATCTTAATCATGTCTGTACAGCCCATGCTGCATTGATGAACCTTTGTCTTACAGGATGTGTGGTTTATAAGAACATGCTCGAGCAGGTATTGAAGGGAGGACATGCACAGAAATGAGCAATGAGCTGGGCCTGGCGGTCAAGATCTGTAGTTCCAGATACTCTTGAGACTGAAGGAAAACTGAAAGTTCAAAGTCTGTCTGGGTTACACAGAGAGCACAGGGCTCACCTAGGTAATTTGCCAAAATCCTAAATGTATAAAGTGCTGGGTTCAATAGTGGTGAGCAACACACACATGACACACACACACACACACACACACACACACACACATACACTCATACACTCACAAGCATGTGCACAACTCTGTGCACAGTGTACACACACATAGCACTAAGATTGATACTAAAAATAATTCTGATCGCTTATGTTCATTTTTCCTAAATTAAGAGTTCCTGCTTCTAAAATCAAACTTTAAGGAAAAACAAAACAAAACAGAATTACGGATCAGCAGCAGCAATATCTCTTACCTTATTTTAAAGGCTTTAGGTGCATTTTAGAGAAAAAATTTTTCTGACCGGACTCAAACATTCTTTTGTGTTCTTAATTACTATAAAAGCGCAAATTCATTTCAGCATTTGCTCTTTATTGTGTGGCATGACGTACCTAGGCAATGCAAGAATGAGTTGTACTAAAGTACTCACACATCCACATAGCACCATGAGGTGTAGCCCACAGTCTGCGGAAGAATGAGCACCCTGTGCCTTCACACTTTACAATGCATCGTTGGCTGCCATTAGAAGTATGATAACACGTGAGCAAGAAAGAAAACTAAAGCTGGTAATGAATACGCTTTTCCAAATACACACATATGCACCTTACAATGAAGCCCCAATGGAAACAAGACAAACGACACTTGATGTGTTATCTATAAAATGTAGACTCTGCAATAAAAAGCCAAAGGCACATAAAAATATATTTCAACTTTAAAAATAACTTAGTTACAGTAATACCTTGCTTATGTCTTACCAACATGTAGCTGACAGTCAAAATTTTGCAACATGGATATAATATATAGGGATATATAAGAACTACAAGGAAAAAAAATCCCCAAATCCCATAAAGTTGTTGAAATATGAAAAGAGAAAAGTTTTAACAATGGAGAAATCGCTATGGTGAACCCAAATGATATAATATACAAAAGAGTCTAGAAAAAAAGGCGTAGGTGTTAAGTAAATCTTGACTTCCTCTTGCTCACAATATGCTGGAGTACTGTAAAGCATCTCAGTGAGACCCACTGACCCAGCCCTTCATAGCCAGTACAATTCCTGGCCAAGCTGGATTTCTTACATGTTGGCAAACAACAACAACAACAACAAAAATTGAGCTGAACATCAGCAATGCCTGCCGAATATGGGCTTGACTCATTTCCTCTGTTTTTTTGCCAGGACAGGTTTTTTTTTTTTTCTTTCTTCTTAAATTGTTGTTTTCAAAATTGTTTTTGCAAACAGGGCATGATGGGTAAAAAAATATTTTGTAGGAACAGGAACATTATTTTAGAAAAATGCATCACACGACTGCAAAAAACCAGCCAGGAAAGCTCTACTCATCAACTGTGGTTAGTTGAGTTTTTGTGGATTTTTTTTTTCTTTCTAATTTTGGTACCTCTTACTCCAAAGGAAAAGAGTTGGCACCCTGTTACTTATTTTTATCCATCACATTCAGGACCTCATCCAAAAGTGAGGGCCCAAGATCCAGCTGCAAGGAGAGCAGGGAGCCGGTCAGGTCAGAGAGGGACTCCTCTGATTTAGTCTTTGATTTCGTGACCTCGCAAGAGGCAGGATGCTCAAACATGTCCTCCGCTGGCCAGTCTGCATACTGTTCAGACAGGCTGGAGGAGTGGCTGTCCCTGCCCTGGCTGGACTGAGATGCAGAACCACTGGAGCCCCATGAGGTGTCTCCCTGGTGGATCGTCCCGTTATCCAACACACAACTTTTCTCCTGAGCTTTTTCTTCTATGACAGGCTCACAGCTGAGCCTGGGCAGCTTGGGCCTCCTGTAGGACTCCTGCTTGGAATTAAATGTGACCGGTGACAACAAGGGCAGCATCAGAGCCTGGGACCCTCCAATGGTTGGGAGGGATATGGCATTTTTGAGCACCGGGGAGGGTGTTTCTGTGAACACGGAGTCTGAGGTGCTGTTGGCACGGAAGAACTCATTATGCCCAGGGAACTGTGCTTTCTCTTGATTTCCGGGCAAAAGCTCATAGTTCCCTTGAAGGAAGGAAATGTCTCCAAAGACGTCATGCTGGCCCTCCTTGCCAATGTGAATGGTGTGGCGAAAGTCCCCCAGGGGAGGACTGATCATATCGGGAGACAAAATGTCTCTCAGTTTAAATTTCTTTCCCTTCTTGTTGTTGGCAGCTTTCAGGTAAATTGGGGTCTTGGCTGGCATTTTGGAATTTGAAGGTGTCTATTTCACAAAAGGGACAAAGGGTGACCTTCTTCACAGATATCAGCGCTTCCAAAAAATCCTTTTTGATACAAGACTGTCACATCATTTTTTTTTCTCAAATAGCTCTGAAATGAGATGGGATCTGAATGACCTTGCTCAGTGTAAGGCCACCAAGTTTTTTCTAGAAAGCGGGTTACATCATCCAGTTCCTTCCACAGCAAGGAGAAATCTGGAAAAGAAACCACAGCAGGTTATGATCTCCTGGTCCTTCAGGGTCCACTGAGGCCTGCCTTTCCCCAAAGCCCAGAAGTGACAGCAGGTCAGTCTTGTTTCCCTAAACTAACCAGGACAAAAACTTTAATCTCAGTAAGGGTTTACCAACCTCAGGCTTAGATCAAAGAAAAAGAAAAAAGAAAAAAAAGAAAAAGATGGATTCGGCCAATAAACCCAAGACATCAGTATTTTTTAAACATGGCCATGGACACAGTTTTCCTAATATGTCTAAGATTTTTAGTCTTATCTTTTCTAAGAAACTTCTATCATATGATCAACTAGACCTGTTTTAAAATATATTTTTCTTTGCTTTGTATGCACACTAACCAGACTGACAGTGATTTGTTATTGAGTTCTGCACACAAATAAAATTAATGAAATTTTATTTGTTCCAAGGAAGGAGGACGGAAGTTATAATTTAATAAGTGACAGTAACCATTATATAACTGTTCAAGAAAATCTTAGTAGAATATGTTCTTACAGATGGGAAAATGGGATGAAGAGTCAAGGGTGGGGGTATCAGAACACATAGGCAGATGATAGATCTACAGCTGGAATCAAGCTGTAACAGAGAAAATACTGAGCTATCAGGGACTTCAGCATTTAAAGGTATTCTGAGATGAAAAGAAGAGAACTGCTCTGTTTCAAAGGAAACACACTGTGATATACGTGATTATATATAATAAATTGACCTTCACTTGAGACTTTTGAAATACCACTGATAAGGCCTGTGCCCTCTCCCTGTGGTAGGCATGATTCGAAGGCAAACCCATGGTCTGCCTCCTGGTGTTAGTGCCTTTGTGGGTCCAATGCGTGAATTCCTTCTATCCAAAAGAATATGGCAGAGGTGACAGGTCACTCCCTTGTTAGGTTACAGAAGGCCCCATCTGCATTGAAGAGGGGGGAGGAGAGAGAGAAAAAGAGAGAAGAAGGGAGGGAGGGAGGAAAGAAGACAGTGAGAGTGAGTGGAGGGGTGCTCACATGTGCCTGTGCACCTGAGCAAGTTCCCTTGCTGGCTTTGAAGAACTTAGCTGTTTCCCAGGTCCAGCCTCTGATGATACACAACTCTGGCCCACACCTCGGTAACATCCCAGTGAGACCCCAACTCTAGTCCTGCCCTGACTTCACCCACAGAAACCATGACTAAATAAACAGATACCCAAACAGACCACTAAGCTTGTGGTAAGTTGTTATCAGCATAGAAAACCAACCTCTTATGCATATACTCGTATGATAGATACAATTAGAAGTGAAGGGCAGTGAGAAAAAGGGTCCCTAATTTACTGATGAAAAACATCTATTGAAAATTCTCCTCCCTCCTGTCAATCTTAGCATCTGACCTAGAGAAGCCAAAATTGTTCCTGTCTTTACTATAAATTTCTCCTACCCAGCCTCCTCCCCCCAGCCCCTTCTGGGGCACTGAGACTAACAATTGATGCTCTAATACTGGGTTAGATGGTGGCTTGAAGACAGTCACATTTGCTTTGCAGCAGCTGAAGTCAGCATCTGCTCCATATTTCTCCTTTCAGCAAGAGTTTTAAATTCACTTTTCAGTGACAGGTGACAAGGGCTGTGCTCCACAAACCACAGGCAAAGGTAATGGCTAGTTTTGTCTGGAAAGCAGCTTATCCAGCATGTACCAACACGCTGTCCAGCCACCCAGGCCTGAGAAGGTGGAGCATGAAGAGTGGGAGACACCACACCCAAACCAACTTTGGGTGGGGGCTGCAGGCAACAGGATTGCTCCTGCTAAGAGTGAGCTGATCCCAGAGCTGCCAAACAGCAGGACTACTGGCCTGATGTGTACAGTTTTAGCTCCTATTTGGGTCTTGTCCCAACAATGAGAAAGTTGAAATCTTACAGATGGGACTTTGGTGCCAAATGCTTATCATCGTAGTACTAAGGAGGTGGCGGCAGAAAGGTAAGTTCAACATCATTTTTGGCTACACAGCAAGGTCAAGGCATACTTAAAATGCCTGAAACCCTATCTCAAAAAAAAAGAAAAAAAAGGCAAACAAACACAAGAAGTTGAAATCTTGGATGTTACTGTTAAAATATCAGAACTTCATTTGCATATGGGTACATAATACAAGGCCTGAGCCTAGGGCCCCAGTGTCATCTTCCAGCCTCTGAAGAGTGGATGGCCAACAGGAGGCGGTGGGCCACCCTGGGAAGAACTGCCCACTGAGGCAGTACCCAGTACCATGAGCACACAGGACCAAGATGGCAGCTGCCATGGAAAGATACAGCAGCTTGGCAGGAGATGACTGCCTGCCTGGGGGCCGCTGGGGTTAAACAAGGCCAAGAAGTACTCAGGACAGGGCATTCCAAATTACTTTTTTTTAATTTTTTTTATTTTTTAAAACAAATTTATTGAGAATTTCATACACGCAGACAAAGTGTTTTTTTTATCAAATCCATGCCTACTCCCTCCCCTCTAACTCCTTCCATATCTCCCCATCACTTTTTTTCTGATAACTTCATGTACTCTTTCTTCTTATTTTTTTAATGGGGCTTTTGGCTCCTCTAACATTCCCCTCTCTGAAGAGGTAACCCTAAAATTTTTTAAGGATTAGACAAGAGCTCCCAAATATTTTTGACATTTTTGGTCTTTGGAACAGAGTAGGTTGCTAAGAGGCCCAAGGACATTGTGAATTTTAGCCAAGAAATGGGCTACTTTTCTTTGGGGTCTTTTTACCCTAACTGTCTAGCCAATTCCTACCTCCTATTCTTATCACACTGTCCTCTGAAGGGGTTACCCAAATTGCCAATAGGGAATAGGGATGCTGACTGATCTGGCTTCTTCAAAACTGAACAGGGATGCCGAGTGAGGCAATTGGAGTATCCCTTCAGTGGGTCTATTTAAAAGACTCCCGAATTGTATAACTTTTATCTCACGGAGGAAAAAACAGTATTTGAATCGTGAATAGGAGATGTGAAGGAGAAGTAAAGGCAAGAGTAATTAGCATTACAAGTTCTAGACAGGGAACTAGAAAAAAGTCAGAACAGGGCGATTTTCAAATATTCATATGAGAGTCCATTGGAATTCCTTGACAAGGGCTTCCAAAAGCATCTCTCTTTTGGGTTCCTCCTCATTTTTCTTTTGTCTTCCAAGGCTGGGCTCTAGAGTGATGGATTCAGGATTTGCTTTCAGGTATTTTGATAGCTGTTGGAGTGGTTAGAATCAGTGTCAGTTCCCTCTCAAAGGCTTCTAAATAAAAACTCCCATGAAGACGTAGCCAGAGCTTAGTTCTCTGCCTCTGACAGGGCCTCTCACATCTGGTCTTGCTGGTAAACAAGGACGGGGATGGTGGGGAGGAGGAAGAAATACTTGCTCCTCTCTGAGGGAGGAGTGCCCAGTGCCAAGGCCTCTGAGCCAGGTCTCTTAAACCAGCCTCTTCCTGGCCACGGCACCATGGGCATTCAGCCAGAGGCCCCCTCAACCTTAGAAAGTTTAGGTATTTTGCCAATGACATAGAGACAAAAGATCAGAAAAGGGCTGTGAATGGCAGAGAGTGAGATTACACAGGCCTAAGAGCTGCCAAACACATTGGAAGGTGTTTTGTTTTGTTTTGTTTGTTTTACAGAGGGGAATTGAGGGGGCCGGATCATCAGTTTCCTACTTTAGATGAGCTGACATGTACAGCACAGGGCTGCACCTGGTAACTCTGACCCAGTCCTCTGTTGCCTGTCCATTCTCAGGATTCATGAATCCTCTGGGCCCTCTTTATCAGCAGATGGATCTATTTTCCCTTTCCAGGCCCCCGCCTTTTGGACATTATCTCTGCCACAGCTTCCAGTGAAAGCTGGTGGGGTGGTATCTTTCCTGGTAAGAAGTGGCTGGTCCTGGACAAGGTGTGTGTGTGCCCCTTGGCCAGCAGTGGGTACCTGATACAAAAGTCAGTGCTTACTGAGACCTCTCTATGTGGCCAAGCTGTTCCCATTCCCATAAGCCCATGAGGCTGTTGCAGCAATGTTCCTGTCCCTGTTTTACAAATGAGACACTACTGAGGCACAGACATTGAGTCACCCTGCCAAGACCGCATGTTATAGCCAGGAAAGCTCAGCCAGGAGGTTGGGCTCCCAGTCTGAGGTCACAGCATGCCATTTAGTAGGCATGAATTCAGTCTGCTCCTAAATTACCAAGGGGGTGCACTTCAGAGCCTGTTTGAAACACAAATGTGTGCGGAACTGATGGAGAAGCCCTGCACATACTGATGGTGGGAGTGAGAGCAGGTCAAACCTCAGTGCAGAGTAGTTGGACAACACCTTTCCAACCTGCATATTATATACTCTTGAACCTAGATCCCACATATAGAGACTTGGTGCACTTAAATATATGGGAGATAGTGTAATACAAGGGTATCCAATCAAACAAAATTTGTAACAGTCAAGAGTTGGAAATAACCTGTCTACTTACAGAAGATTGGTACAGCTGGTACAAACAAATTTGCAGTATTTACACCTAAAAAGGAATAAAGATGCTTTTATATGGCCATATGGAAAGAGCCCAGTGATGTATTTGTGTCAGCTTGTATATCTGGAAGCAGACATTAGAATTAAGTAATGGCGACTGCTTTCAGAGAGGAAAGGTGAATGGACAGGATAAGGGTAAAAGGAAACTTTTCATGTTATATCCTTTTAGGATCTTAGGGTTTTGAATTATGTGACTGAATGGCTATTCAAATAATAAAATAAATATAGTAAATACATGCTTAGGGTTTAGAGTACAGTCTTAGGGAGCCAACTTTCCATGTGGTACTTGGGTCCTGCAAAGCCTGTGCAAATTATGAGTTACTGATGATCATAACACAAACATTTCTACGTTCAAAGCAAATCTGGATGATGAACTGTGGATGTGTGAGGTTTCACCAAAGCTTGGTAAGGAGACAGGTCACTCCTTTCAATGACTAGGCCTTTTACTAAAGAGGTAGTCTTTATTTGTACTTTTAGAAT